TTTACCTTCGAACGAAATTTTAAAAAACGTAAATTCATAAATTTTTGAGTACCCATAAGCTTCGAATTGCATGCTAAGGACTCAATGCTGCATTTTCTTATAAATTTCACAGAAGGGAAATTTTTATATAATTCAAATTCTTGCAGCTCCTTACAAAATTTTATGAAAACTATGTTTACATTTTTTATTTTGAGCTTTGTTTGGTAAATTAGTGGACAAAATGTTACTCAGTTTGCTGCTATAAAACCGAAAAATGTGTCCAGAATTGTATGCACCAAGCGCCGTACTAATTACAATCAATTATCCCTCTCACTTGGAGTACACAACGTAGTACATGCATAAGTATGTATGTAACACCTGTACAAATACAAAAAATATTAAGCTGATGGGCGATAGCTGAGCGGCATACCTCTCAGTTCCTTTTAATTAGCTCGCGCAACTTTATTAATTAAAGTAAATTTCGTTCCTAGTTAATATTTGAGAAACTAATGGAACATAATTAAAAATCCACTTCAATCCGCACAACTGCTATTTACAACACCACCATTGCACGCTGCCATTCACCCCAGTCCGCATTTGGCTAAGCGCAACACGCTCTTGACACTCCACATTCATGCCAACAGCCAATAGCTAACTAATCGAACAAAACTCTGCGAAGCGGAAGTCCCGACTAGGAATTGTGTGTATGTATGTAAAAAAGTACAGCAGGCGCAAGGCGAAGGCATCCAATTAATAACATTGATTAAGCTGATTGAAAGCGGGCACAAATACAAAACTGATGGCAAGGAAAGGAAAAGCCGAAGGCTAAAAGGAAAAGGAATTAGTTGGATAGATGGATAGGCGTCAGCACTCTTTCGTTCGTTCGTTCGTTCATTGGTTCGATACCGCCTGCATGGCGGCATTGGCGGCATTGGCGACAGCTGGGTGGCACATAAGCAAGTAAGTGGAGCTTGCAGATTGCCAATCAAGAGGGTGGATCAGACAGACAGACAGTCAGGTAGCTTGATAAGTAACCAGCTAAGCTCTGGAGAGTCGCCTCTTAGCGGCAGTGCCTATAAATTATCGGCAGTATATTGAACTCATTTGAACTCCACGAGGAAAAGATACATACATGCAGATTAACATTCACAGCGCCCGGAAAGTCAAAGGCGCATATATATCCACATACACCAAGTTTGTGCATAGATTTCCGTTGGGCGCCGGTGTTGCAAAGTTTTGTACAATATATGTACATGGCCGCTTGAGATTATTAAAACAGTTTGCGCTCTTCATCGTTGCTGTTTGTAATCAAATAGTTTTTGTTTATATTTGCTGGCCGCATTAATTTTTAATGCGCTTTCTTACTTACGCGCTTATGTGGAGCTAATAAACTGATTAAATTACTCCTAAATAAGTAGTGTTTAATTAAAATTTGCATTACCACTGAATATTTAAGCAACAATTCCTGACTTTATCTTATTGGTTAGTGATCAGTTGGCCGCATGCCATGTGATATTATCTCGTAAATTATACATGAAGATATGGATGAATTTTTAATGTAGTGTGAATCGAGCTATGGCATTTCAGTGTCAATGAAATTAAACAAACGATAGGTCACAGGCACACATGCATACACTAATCATTTCAAAAACATGTCAAAAACTACCATTTTTATTTGGCAGTGGAATCAGTTTTTTTAATGAAAAAGTTTGTTGCTTCTTCTATTTTGCAAGATATTTTAGAAAAATCGTATCGATACTTGTATAAATTTACCAAAATAAGTCAAAAAGTAAAACTTCCCTTGTGGGATATTTCAATGGGAATTTTTAAAAAACTTAAAAAAAAACTTTTTCCTGTTTTTGATCAATAATTCTTATTTTTCTTTGAAAGAGCTATAGCAAACAAAATTCTTTAAAGAAAAAATTTATTTTTTCAACAAAATTATATTTGAAAATAGCTGCAGCTCACTGCTATACACAATTTATGATTTAAAATAAAACAGCAAACAATCTACATTTATTACCTAGCAACGGCTTTCAAAAATGAAATAGTAAACTCTAAATTTCCCCGAGGGAAAATACATATTATGTACTTATATTCTGTTAAAATTTGAATAACGCGAGGGCACAAAATGGATAAGTTAATCTTAAACTAATCCATCTGACAAATCATACTGTAAAAATTGTTTATTCAGCAAGTGAACAGAATTTAAAATTTAGCCTTATGTCCCTCGCCTTACGCTTATCGCTGAAAGAACTTTTTTTATCTTATATGTATACATACATAAGTATATATAAAAAAAATTTACTGTTAGCGTAAAAATGTCAATATAAAAACTTCGAAGGAAATTTTCTAAAATGAATTTTTATTACAAAGTATGCAGTGGTATTAACAGAAAAATGTTGTCAGCTTTAAACATTTTCCGAAACAAGTCAAAACAAAAAATTATCCTCAAAGAAATTTATGTGGGAAAATTTCGTAAAAGCTGATACGCATTTTTTTTAAATCACAAATATTAGCATTGAAAAATACAAAATTCTTTAGAGAATTTTGACGAGAAAATTCCTATACCCAATTTTTTCACAAAATATGCAGTAGCTATGGGCACAAAGTGTAGCTCTTAATTTGTTATACCCATTCATTAAAAAATAATTTTGCACATGATATTTTACTTTAAGTAGATATTAAGCGCATCTAACTCGCTAAGATATGTATTTAGTTTCACATAAAATAGCTGTTTCCAAAAAAAAACTGCGAAACAAAAAATTTCCCTCGAGGAAATTTTTGTGGGATATTTAGCCTTTTTCCCCTAGGGATTTTTTAATGTAATTTTAGCACAAAATATGTGAGAACGACATAAAAACTCTCAAATAACATTTTACATTAGGAATCTGCTATCTTTTGTACATATACATATATGTATATTTTTACCAATACAGCTGCACAAAATTTTTCACACAAAATTTTTCAAAAACTTTAAAGCACGCATTTATCGAAAATTTGAACTTATGCGCTTTTGACAGTAGCATTCGGTTGTATTTATTTAATTATTTTTTTTCGTTTCCTCCTGAAAGGATATTTATTTTTATTTTACTTTAGTTTCGGTTGGTCTTGCCGTTTGAACTTGTTTATTTTGTAGACACCTGTCACTTGCAAGCATTGCTTCCATGCAAATATTTTTATCTCACATTTATCTCATTCACTGAGTTTTATTTATTTATTTTTAATTTTCCTTTCCATTTCCGACCCTGCTGCAATCTCTTACGTACATACATATATAGCCGTACTCTAATTTAAACAATTTGTGTAGATTTTCACAGCTACGTGCGACGAAATTTGCGCTATACAACTTTTACAAAATTCCGCAATAATTTTGGCGACGGAAGTAGTAAGAAAATCTAAAGAAATTTTCAAATATTTTGTTGCTTGTCAACTTCAAAAGGCTTTCTTTTCTTCAGCTCTTTCCCCAAGCTGCCTGAACGATGGCTCTCATTGTTAATTTGCCAGGGTGTTGAAGAGCAGCAGGGCACTACTCGCACATAGAAGGTGTGTTCAATGCTCTTTCTGTATTACTGCAAACCAGCCAGCTACTAGACACAATGCAATGCCATTTCCTCATTTGCATAACGAATACAAAACAGTGAAGAAGTGAAGAGAGGAATCAGAGTGCCAGTTGGGGTTACGAAAAATAAAAAAAGAAGGCTTTAAAGATTTCTCAGCGCGCTTGCCGAGAGGGCGCCTTGAAAGAAACTGGTGGAGATATATATGTATGTATGTATGTATGTATTTAGAAGGCTATGCAATGCTCCTCGCAAGCGGAATAGTAAACTCAGCGGATACGAGTAGTA